TTCATCAAAGGCCTTGTCGGTCGTCGTCTTATCCAAGAATCTCTCCTTGATCTTTTGGAGAAATTCTTGGAGAGTTAGGGTCTTCGCCCACTCACCGATATCCTCGAAGTCAGCAGCATTGGCCTCGGACAATACCCATTCCTTGGCTGTCTCGCCAAGACAAGAAGTCGAAAAAGCCACTTGGCTTTTCGATTCTCCTGGTGCATTGCCACAGTATGTTTGGATCTCAGCGATCCAGAGCAACAAGTGTTCGCCCCTTTTTCCATTGTAGGTAAAAGGAAGTTTCATTTTAACCTTTTCTTTTCTTTTTGGTTTCTCTGCCTCTTTGGCTGGGTCTTCTTTCTTTTCGGTGGGTCCTTCTTTCTTCTCTGCCGGTTCCTCAAACTCTTTCTTCAAGGGTCCGGGCTTATCTGGCGTCACCTTCCGTATTGCATCTTTCATGAGTTTCTCTTGGGGTGGTTTCCTGTCTACTTCCCTCTTCGTCTCCTCCTCAACACTCACCTTATCCTTACCTCTCATCAGTCTCATCATGGTATCTGGTGAGACGGTGTCCGTGTCTATCTTCTTCTCAAGATGAACAAGGTAAGCTATGATAGATTGCAACACAGACGAAAGATCAGTCTCAACTTCCTCAAAGTGAAATCGTTCTCTCATCTCTTCTAACATTTTCTCTTGCGGTATTCTTCTATCTTTCTTCTTTCATCTGCTAGAGATTTCTCTAATTGTCTGATTTTTTTTTCCATTATCTCTACGGACAATTCCTTTCTCTCCTCACTTTCTTCTTTCTTCTCTTCTTCCTTTCCTCTTTGGTCCATTCTTTCAAACTGCTCCGTGACAAACCGGTCAAGAGCATTACGCCCTTGTTTAATGAGTTTCTCGACTCGCTGCCCGGTTTCCAGCATCTCAACACCAGTTCTCGCGGCTTCAAGTTCACCCTCTGCAGCTCGCAGGTTGAACTGTCTGTGAACGTGCTGTTCAACTGCTGGACCGGCACCGTGTATCTCACCAAGCAGTTGCCGAAGAAGGTCTTTTAGTGTTTGCCTTCTTGCGTCAATTTGACCACGCGTCCTAAGACCCCCCCCTTCTTCATCAGCATAGACTATGAGAGGGATAAGGAAAAACAGAAGAGGAATGAACCTTGTCAAGATGGAGGCATGCAGACATTTCTAGAGAGAATTCATTTTTCCTAGCGTGTAGATGCCGCACAATAAATAAAATTAAAAGACAAAAATAAATTCCACGGCACACAGAACTTTTACAGCAAGAGCAATTAAACAAAAACTGTCAAAAAGAAATGAGTTCTCAATTTCTATATTCTTTGTTGTCTGTTCTCTGCGATGACGTCCTACAGCAGGTTTACAGGTACCGCAGCCACGGCCAGTGTGATCAAGAGAACAGCACACTTGTAAGTATACACAGCAACCACACAATCAACAGGTGAGTAAAGCCAACACAACAACAGAATCAATAGTTAGCTTCTTTCCTCTTTCTGCTATATCATCTGCAGAAGCAATGCAACCATCACAAAGCCAGCACTTGACACTACAACAAGTGAAGCCGTACCGTCTGCCAGCAAGCAAGTGCACATTCAATAGTTCCACTACAGAAGCATTTGCATGCCACGTGTCACCCCTGGCATGCCAACGCAGCAGGTCTCAGCGTCAAGGACTGAAAGGTCTACGAGGGGGGGATGCCACGTCAGCAGTGCATGTCTGCATCACACTCAACACTGGTAAGCATGCAGCGCTTTAACAGCAGGCAATCGCAACACAGGTACGTGCCACGTCAGACCATGCCCTGCCAGAATACCACATCATCATGCCACGTGGACAATGCACCACATCAGCGGTCCCAATTTTTCCCTGGACCAGCGCTACGTCAGCCTGTTGCCAACGAAGCTCTTGCCGGTATCTCGAAGTCTTCAGTGCAGCCACGTCATCATCTGCGAGGGACAGCTGCTCGCACGTGCAATACTACAATGTCTACTAGACTTGCGGTATTTACCGCGCGCGTTAATAAACGCATTTCGTTTTGCACATGCGGCACCTCCCACTTACCTGGGTTCCTCGTCAGCACCTGACAACAGATTGCAATGAAGGAATATACCAAATTGTAATGAACCCAGTCAGGAAGATACTCAGCAGACGTTGAAGTTCCAATAGTCTCAGATCTGTACAAAGTCTCCAGTTAACGTGAAAATGACATCCGCAACAGTATCTTGTTACCAATAGACGAGGAGAGTGGAGGGAGGATAGACAAGGAAGAAGGTGGGAGAAATAGTCACAGATCACACAATAGTAACCCAACCAATCCCACTTCTTCTCCGGGCTTCCTCTCCCTCCACATCATCAATCAAATAACAGTAACAAGTCTGATAAGTCCCGGTAACACAGAAGTGCCACGTGGCACCACTCTCTTATGGAGACAATGAAGACAGCCAACAGCGAACAATATCAACGTCGGTCTCAAGTAAGTATCCCGTTCCCAATCTTCCACAGATCCCGATCTTCCTCCTCCTCGCAACCAGTCACCTCATGTAGACAGCGTGGACAATGCCACGTCAGCAGTCGAGACAGGTGGCATGCGCCACATCATCGATGTAGACCAGTGGCATGCGCCACATCAGCAATGTAGACCTGTGGCATGCACCACATCAGCATGCAGTGTAGACCTGAGGCAGCGCCACATCAGCATACAATGTAGATCATCGGAAGCGCCACATCAGCATGCAATGTAGACCAGAGGCAGCGCCACATCAGCATGCAATGTAGACCAGAGGCAGCCCCACATCAGCAATGCCTGGCGCATAATGCAGAATGCGCCAGCATGCCGTCACAGTCCGCATCGTCGTCCACAGTGCCTGCGCACAGCCAGCGTCCAGCCAGCGTCTCGCCAGCGTCATGCCAGCGTCAATGCCAGCGTCTGGTCGAAGTCAAGCTAGCGTTCAAGCAGCATAGCAAGACTGAATGTTGACCTCCCGAAGAGCAGCCCTTAAGTAGCATTTGACGAGGCTGTCTGGTCTCGGGTCCCTTCTCCACAGTCATCCAGATTGACTCACAGCCGAGGGCCTCGATAATGTACAGTTGCAGACTTCCCCTTGGACCTGATGCTGTCTGGGTACCTGCATACAAACAAGTGTGCGTGCCTGACCGGCGGCCTGGGCTGGATACCTTTGGACTTTGACTGTTGGTGTTATGTGTCACACGTCCAGGCCCTGAATCCTCGTGTGGGGTCTTTTTCCCCTGTTTCGGCCTTGTCTGAGGGCGCCCAGGTAGGCCCTCAGAGGGTTGCTTGTATTGACGCTTGGCCGAGGGTAGGAGTTGGATGATGTACTATATAAGGAGGTAGGCTGTAGGATTAACCTCCATGCTTTGAGCGATTGGGTTTGAAGGAAAGGATCCTCCTGACGACACTACGTGCGGGGTAGGCGAAACGGGTTGAGGAGAGGCCGCGTGTTCTGTGGTGCGAGTTGGACACTCGCTGGTACTGGATCGATCCTGTTATTCTCGGTGTATCTTTCGATCGATTCCTATGGTTTGATTTTGCTCAATTGAAGCGTGCGCAATAGTTGGCTTTCATTGGTGTATTTTGCTATACTATTCTCATGCTGTAACTGATTTTGCTGGTCAGTTCCTTCAATTCAATATGGCATGGGTTATTGCAATAGTTTTTTTTGTTTTTTTTTTTTGCTGGGACCTTCCCTGGTTGTTCTTGCACGGCTGGTCCGCCCAGGAAAACAGGCTGACCCGGGCGGCCCGGCTGGTAGCCTAGTTTCACGTGCAATTTTGCAGGGTTTTCTCATATTTTGTCGGTGTGCATCTTGTGTGTGTGAAGCTTTGTCTGTTGAAGCTTGAATCCGTGGAGTTGTGAAAAAAAGCAGTGCGTGAATCGTAGGATCGTTGCACCATCCATTGTGCAAGGTTCTGATAACGGCATGATAGCCACGGTGTTTATTGATTACCTGCGGAGGGTGATGGTATGCACTGTGGTGGTCTTGCGAGGGCAGATGCTTTGCCTCCGATCAATGTCTAACAGAGTGTGCCTCTAGGTGAAAAAAAAGAGAAAAAAAGTTAAAAACTTTTAAAAAGTGACGGGAATGCTAAAGAATGGGATGTGGCAGCCATTGTTTGCATGCATGCTGAAACTGTTGAACCGAATGGCCCAACTCCACCTTAGAGTGAGTGAGTGGGTCATCAGCTAATTTGCATGGCTACGATCCGGACGTGGATGGCGGTCCGGATTCAGTCCGGACTCCAGACGTCCGGTCTGGAAGTTCCGGATCTGCCAAATTTCGAGGAAAAAAAAAAAAAAAAAACGGTCCAGGACCCTTCCGCATTGAGGAGCCAAGCCCCCAAAATGGCTTTCTCTCTCTCTATAATAATTTATTAGAAAATCCCCAATTTCTTAATTATTAATAATTCATTACCTTTTGTTAGGTTTTTAAATCTTTTAAACTCTTTTTTTAAAGTTTTTTATAGTTTTTGACTTTTAACTCAAGTTTGGTTAGGAATTCTGACATGACTCTGAGGCAAAAGTGGTTTGCATTGTTATTCTGCATAACATTTTTTTTTTTCAGATTTTTTTTTTTTTTTTTTTTTTAATGGTCCGGACATTTTCCGGACCTGTCCAGACATCCGGACCGTCCGGATCCCGTCATGTCCGGTGTCCGGAAGATGTCTGGAATTCCGGACGTCCGGAAACTACCGGGCACGGGTCGGTTCCATGTCCGGAAATGTCCGGGTCCGGGTCCGGGTCCGGCGTAGCCATGCTAATTTGGGACGAGGAGAACAGTCATAAATTGGTAATCCATTATGCAAGGGCCGAAAAAAAAAATAAAAAAAATAAAGGCGCATCTTGAAGGCTTAGTGACATTAATTTCCATGGAAAATTGGAAAATTTTGAAAAAAAAAAAAAAAAAGCAGAAAAGAAAAAGAAAAAAAAGATGGAATTGACTTGGAAAACCCTGTCACTTGTGGTTTCGCTAATGTCATTCATTGCAGGATGATACAGTCAAGGAGGAGATAGACTACATCACGAAGAAAATCCTACCTGGAAGGTACACCACGAAAGAAGCTCAACGATGGATCACTGTCGGCAGTGGAGTATTGCTCTGCTCTTCATGGCGTCAGTCGAGTTCGTGTTCTTCCTTTTTTTCTGTACAAAAAAATTAGGCCGTTTCTCGATTTATGTGTGTGTTGTCTTTGCGCAGGGGCCATCAAGTAAGCCAGTACGGTAAACAATAAATGACCTGTCTGTGGGAGCTGCTCTTCATTACAGCCAGGAGCTTCTGAGCTGTTCTCCCCCCTTACCTCCCCCTCCCTCTGTGAGAGGTACCAGTCTTTGACAGTACCAAAGGAATATCAAACAATATGTTCATTCACAGTGATGCGCTCTTCAGTTATTAACTTGTTAAAGTTATTATGCTGTGCTTTACACAACCTTCTGTTCAGGCCACAGTTGTGTGGTGTCCTTACGTTTTTTTTTTTTCGTTTTTTTTTTATAAAGCCGGGGCCAAGTACTATGGGGAGAGATATGAGCATCTTCTCATAGTAATGTTTGTCCCCGCTGCTCCAATCTATTGGTAGGGACAGTCACTGAATGCGTGATAGGGAACTGAGCCTTATCTATTTGCAATTTTGCAGTGGTCCTGGTGTGAGCAAACCCTCTGGTACGACGATGCTCAACATCAAACAAATTCAGGAATGTCACACACACAAAGTCACACTTGATTGAGACCTCCCACCCAACTGAAAATCGAATTTTCACACTCGAAATGTTTGATGAAACAGGGAAAAAGTCCGAAAAAACTGATATATGCCTGGGCACCGTGCTGCCCTGACCAACGTGCAGAAATTGGACTTGAAAATCATTACAGAGCCGAGAGTGACATCGCACTGGCTATATCTGTGGCCTGCTCTCTCGTGTCGAGCAATGAGAATAGTGCTGCTCACTGCTCCTTAGCAGCCAAAAAATCCCAATGATTTAATAGCAGATTTTTTGACAAGCTGATCCTGCTACAGCAATCGAAAATCATTACGGAGCTGCGAGTGACATCGCACTGGCTATGCCTGTGCCCTGCTCTCTCGTGTCAAGCAATGAGAATAGTGCTGCTCACTGCTCCTTCACAGCCAAAAAGCCCACTGATTTAATAGTAGATTTTTCGACAAGCTGAGCCTGCTACAGCAATAGAAAACCATTACAAAAATACCTCAGTAGGCAGGCTGGAGCAGCAGAGGCTGGCTCGGACCCCACTGGCTGGTGGTCGCTGGCCGCCAGTGGTTGGAAGAAATGTTTTGAGACCCCGCTGCTGGCGGCAAATGCAAGCACTTTTGTTTCCACTCTGCCTACCTATGCTTTTTCAGCACACCAACCAATCCCCGTGCCTCCTTTCCGCACGGGATGGCTGGTAAGCTGGCCAACGTCTAGAGTCCGCCAGCATACCAGCCATCCCGTGCGGAAAGGAGGCACGGGGATTGGTTGGTGTGCTGAAAAAGCGGAGGCAAACTAGCCCGAAAAGGCAAGTCTTCCTTATTGGGTAACAGAAACCTCGGGAAGTGCCGAAAATTGCTGTGGCAGTGGAGTCCCCGTTTCGCGAGCCCATTCCCATCGGCTACGATTTGTGGCCGCCAGCTACCGCCAGCCAGTGGGGTCCCAGCCTAAGCCTTGCCCTACTGTTTTTTCTTTCTTTTCTTCCCGCCCCCCCCTCCCCCCGAAAAAAAAGAAAAACAGCTCCTTATGGCCCCGGCTCCATATCCATTCTGGGATTATCTGTCGGTTCCCTTCTTTAATTAAAAAAACAAAAAAAAAACAAAAAATAGAAACAGGTTCCATTCATTATCAACGTAAAGAAAGAGGTGCCAGCCGGCCGGCCTCCCCACATAATGATGGCTGTGCTGGCAACACAGCCGAAACATGTAAGGAGGCTTTGCCTGTTTACTTCCACTTCAATGCTGACATTTTAAGGAAGAACCATTCCTTTTTGCACTATTCATGTTTACCATCGTTTCTCACATCTCATCTTTCACCTCGCTTCTCTCCCTTCTTCCTCCTTTCTCATTCTGTGCGCGTCCCTGGTCATGGTCACTTACACCTGTTTGTCGCCTGTTTTCGAGCTTTGAGTCCGCGTCACAGCCTGCACAGGTTGTTTTCGACCCACATAAAGACCTCGTATGGGAGCATTACCCTGTGTCATGCTTTTCACAGTCCCCTCTGGCACCCCCCTGAAAAAAACAACGTTTCCCGAGAGTATATCTAAAACCTTGTCCTTTTTAACTTACTCCCTAAACCCTCCATCAACTCGTCCTCACTTTTTGCTACACATGCCATTCCAGAACAAATTTTTGACTAAGTTTGGTTCGCAAGAACCAGACCGAAAAAAAAAAAAAAAACAATTCTTGAAGTTTCTGTCCCCTTCTCACTTTCTAGCCCACGGTTCGACGCCCTCTACCTGCCTGTATCAGCCCATTTTGTCGTCTTTCATCTGTCGGTTTCCTATTCCCCCCCCGGCAACAGGCGGCAAGTAAAAAAATATACACATGGGCATCCGCCGGTCTTGACGCTTCGCCTCGTTTCGGCCAGGTGAACCTGATAGCGATGATTGCTCCCTAACTTCCTGTGGAAGGATTGACTGACAGTGTGGTGTGGCCCACTCACGCGTAAGGTCAGACGCCACCCTGGATTCAGGCAAATCACACACGAAAGAAACGTATCTGAAAACAGTAGACCGTCGTCCCTCTCCGACTACTGATGTATCCTGTCAGATTTGTTGGTACGGCGTAGGACGGTTGAGACTGATTGGCATTGGATAATCCTGCAGCTGCTTTAGTTGCGTATGCAGACCCCATAGTGGTCTTGACGGTGTTGCTGATATGTCCATTGTTGACGGAGCTGGTGCAACAATCCTCCATATATCTTTCCATAGCTCTACAGTTCCCTGTGTGGGCTCCTCCTCGATTGTTCCTGTTGCTCCTCCCCCGAGGTTGGTCTGGTGTCATTCCTTGTCTAGGCACTCGTCAACCTCTATTAAACCACCAGTACCTACCGCGTTTTCAGGTCGTTAACAAGGTGGATGAATCTGCACCACGCGCGGGTCTGTATTCACTCGAGTCAGAGGGGGGCTAAGAATGCGGTACGTACTGGTGGTTTAATGGTCCCAATTTGAAATAATGTTCCTTTTCCTGCGTAGCGCTGCCCTGTAACTTAGCTAAATAGAGGGTGTGAGACTGGGTAGAGGTGGGATTGATACACAGCACAACATCAGATGACAATTGCTGGAACTGGTAGAAATACCTGGAATTAGGATAGGGTTCGGTGTTGTAGTTCTGAGTAGAGAACATTTTGATTAGCCTTCCTGATCACTCTTCCTTATTATTGGCTAGTATTTAGAGTGTGACTGGTCAGATCATGATTCTGATTAGCAGAAAATCATCAGTTTTAGCATCATTATCATTATCCTCATCATCATATGTTGGTTACTCCGGGTAGACTGGGAGGACCCCGGCCTCAATGTTCTCAAATATCAATACAAGCCTTGGGCACTGGGCCCCTTTAAAAAAAAAAAGAAAAAAGAAAAAAAAGGTCCTTGAATATGTAGGGGGTTGTGCCCGTAGTGTCTGCGGCCGCCCCTCCCATGAGCCATTCTTCTCCAGAACTTATTTGCAGCCCTTCTTCCTTCGTCAGGGATCCAATTCCTTGTCCATTGTCAGGAGACACTTACACCACGCTGCCCTAATTTCCACCTCTATCATTTCTCTAGCTTTGATCCATGATCCAGGTAAGCTGACTGCTCGTTGCCCTAGCGTCTTGCTGCATCTTGCTCTCCGGATGATAACCCAGAGGCCAACTCCTCTCTGCAAGTCGATCCAGACATCTACAGTCGCTAGTCCATCGGTTTCATACCGGACCTGCAGGACAGTACGTACCGGAAGTTTCTACTAGAGCCCACGGATGGGTCGATGTACAGGGTAGGAATTGGCACGTGGTGCTGGGAGCGGATGCTGAGACGCGTGAACCCTTCTAGAACTCAAGCAACAGAGTTATGTCCCGTCTCCAACTGGTTGGTCACGCAACCTGAATGGGTCTTCAACCGACTGACGTGAGCCCTATGCCCGGTGCAACCTCTGATCCGCATCCCCTGCTTCAGGCCAGTGTCTCTCTACCGGGCCAAGCTCCTGCAAGCTACGGGTTTACTGGGCGGTGAAACGCCGCAGCAACTTGTCTGCCGTCGTTCTAGCCGGAGAGTATCATGAATGGGTCTTGAACCCAGCACCTATACACTGCCATTCAGATATGCGACCACGTGAGATAGCCAACAGGAGGACGCATTCATTCAGACTTCCAAATTAAGTTAATGGAACAAAACTTTTTAAGTCAGATTAAATTTCTGTGTGAGCCTAAGGATAGGGCTGCGATTAGAAAAGACATTTCAGAAAAATGCCTTGGCACCCCAGAAAAAAAAAAGGGTCTCATAATTGCAAAAGTCAAGGGAGATGTGGCGCCTGGTTTTCAGAGACTGGTCCTTCATAGGCCCTTCCTTTCCAAAAAGACCTGCTTCTAAGGGCCTTGCCGCATGGCACACACGAAACAAAAACAAAAAGGAGTGCATCTCCCCACAGAAGGTGGCAAAGTACATTCCTCACTATTTATATGGATTCAATGAATCGCCCCATATTCTGTGGGAAGATGCACTCGTTCCATTTTTTGTTTCGCCTGCCGTGCAGCGAGGCCCTAATTCCCGGATACCTTCCCTCCTTTGGAAAGCTCTTTAGCAGAGCGATCTTTGCATAGTCTGGAATGAAGTAATTGACATCCCTTCTATGCTCAGGCATTAGGTTGACAGTATTTGATAGGTATCCTCTTTTTTATTATTATTATTACCATTTCTTGATTTATGTGTGTCATCCTTGCGCGGGGCCCATTCTTATCTTCTGTATATCGTTCCAATTTTAACGGATGTCCCGAAGAACAGGTTGATAGGTCTCTATTATTTGTTGGTGCAGAATTCTGTTGAAAAAAGAGGCTATATGAAAACCAAGCCAAGTTTGATTCTCAGGGAAGTACTTATGCTTGATTCTTTGTCAACCCCAGGTACAGTCTTCCCCCGAATACAACGTACGGTCATTATAGCTGAATTTGGTGTATCTTTTGGTCTAAATTCAGCTATAATGACCGTACGTTGTATTCGGGGGAAGACTGTAGGGTGTCTACGAAAGACCCATGCACGAAGTTGTTGAACTATCCGGAAATCCATACGGTGAAAGATTGCAGACTGCCACTCGTGTGCAGAGGGTTGATAGTCAAGTCCAATTCTGCTGAAGAGGCGATACGTCTGGGGATTGCTGTCCTATCTGTTGTCCACGTGGAGGATCGTGGCAGTTAATCCCCTGGCCGATGTTCGAGGGCCATCAATGTTGTCCGACCGATGCTGAAGTCCATTTCCCTGCATGTGTTGCTAGATGCTGAAGTCCATTTCCCAGCATGTGTTGCTAGATCAGAGCTGTAGAAAGAAAAAGAGACGGAAGGGGCGAAAAAAACAAAAACAAGGGACAGTGGTAGTTTTAACTATAACCTCAGGCAGTTTAATCTCATACAACATCACATTCCATCCCGGCCTTAAAATGCTCCGTGTTTGCCTTATGAGTTATATCGCATCGTTAGGGCCTCGCCACGCAGTACGCAGTACTACGCACAACAAAACGAAAATGCCAGTTCGTTTCGTTCCGTCATCGCCACACAGCCTCAGAATTCTCTGTCGTGAAAAAAAGAATCTCGAGATGGTCGACCATTGCCTTCTTGCAAAGTCGTGCGGAAAAAAAAAAAATGCAGGCTTGTGTGTGTTTTATCAAAGAGTTCTTGACGCTGCCCTGCGGGCATCTATGGAAATTCACCACTCGCAGGAAACACAGTTCCAAAGGGTCCAGACAGCAGATGCCATCCGCAGAAGGGTTGAGCTTCCTTGATGGTGTTGTAAATCAAGGATTGCTGGGGGGGGGGGGGTGATGGCGACATGATAGTAAAACTCACGTCTTCTTCTTCTTTTATATATCCATGTTGTGTATTTCACTGATGGCGTCCGTGCTTGCTCCAAACACAGCTCCTGAACTCATGAGCACTAGCGAAAGAGCTCATTCATTTCATTTCGTTGGATTTTGTTTCGGGCCACATGACATGCATGCATGCAACAAGGACCCGTCGGCCACACAGCCACCAGTGCACCATCACACATGGAGCAGAGCATACGCTGAAATCCAAGGAAAGGGAGTCCAAACAAGTCCAGAGCAAAAGCATTGTGATGCAAAAAAAAGAGGACGGTACGCAGACCAGGTGGCTGAGTGGTATAATACCATGAACTGCTGAAAAACAGACCTGATTTGGAATCGAGATGGGATCAGATGAACGGGAAAAAAAGAAGAAAAACGAAATAAATCTGAATTACCTTGGGGCCGGCCAGTTCGTCGATGATAATGCAAGGTCATTGCCCGTCTGCGGCAAAAAAAGGAAAGAATAAACAATGAGATTACGATTTCTATCATTTCTTTTGTTTTTTCAACTTTTTTTGTTCAACCACCAGTACTTGGCCCTGCTATTGGCCGTTGGAAAAAAATAGACTAGAAACGTTTCTAGTCAGATGAATTTGGGCGCTCCTATAGTGGCCCGTGCGTTTCCTAAAATCGTGGCATATTAACGGGCAGGACTTTAGGAAGTACTGGTGGTTTTAAGGAAAGAAAATGTGAGTTATGAACTTACTGAAGTTATTTTAAGTTATTGATAGTTTTTAACTTATTATCCAATAGAGCCGGGGATGAAAGTTTATTTTGAGCAAGTTCATTTTTATTTTTTTATTTTTTTTACCCTTTTTTTTCTTTCAATTTTGAATCTTTAATATTCTTTACGAGTCTACAAGTTTTGTTGTACCTTCTTCTTTTTTTTTTTATGGTGCGCCGTTGCCAGTGTGCCACCGTACCAATTTTGGCACATACCACACAGCATGCACTGCAGCACTGCAGGGATGATATATTATGGTATTAGACTATTAGTGTCATATTACGGTATTACTGCTCAATTTTTTCGTGAATATTCATCATGTTTCCCATCGTGTTCGGAGAGTATGGAAGTTTCAGATAAGTCTTCTTTGTTTGTTGTGATTGTGATCTGACTACAGGTTGATAAGAAGAAGATCAAAGGAGCCTATTCCTGGCCAAAGTCCAACTGTAGGAGATCCTGCTGAAGCTCATACACAGTCTCCAGAAGAGATTGCGTACTATGACAGAAGGTACTTAGCATCATGTTCAGATTCATGCACAGGGAGGTTAAATTACACCCACATATTTTGATTTTGTTAACCAAACATCAGCCCGGGAGCCAACTATTGGAGGGGATGCTAGCATCCCCCAAGAGTGGGTTCCACCCAGTTATGGTGGCTCCAATCTTCTTGGTGGGGGGGAGCTGCACCTGCTGGAAACCGGGTCGAGTTTCCCTTGCACATGAAGAGAGTGTTGACTGAGTATAAGGGGGGGTCAGCATTGAATGCCCTCAACGGAGGGGATTGACTGCCCCGTTATACAAATGCAGAAGGTGAGCATATCCAGTATTATTCACCACCCAGTACGAGGCAGAGTGTGCAGGCGGGTAACCATGCTAGGCTTATGGCTGCGGCATCCCGACTTGGCTGAATCGAGGAGGTCAAGGATGTAAGAGAGAGAGAGAGAGAGAGAGAGAGGGATAGGAGGGGTGGGCGAGGAGGGGAGCGTGCGACAGAGAGGAGGGGTGGGGCGAGGAGGAGGGGAGAGGGAAAGTCATTGACAGGTCATGGGATAAAAGTGAGGGGCGAAAAGGAGGACAAGGAAGAGGAAGGGGGTGGGCGGAGGGCTACTGTAGTGGAAGAGGGGGGCAGAGGGCAGAGTGGGGCAAGGCTGTGGGTTTTCAGGGATACTAAAGGGGTTGACCGGCACCGAAAAGTGTGCCATGGGGAGCCTCTGTAGTGCTCCTCTTTGCTTAGCCCCGGTTTCCACTTGAGGTCGTCACGCTCGTCTAATCTCATGTTCTTTCCTCAGGGTCAATCCAAGGAATTTGTGATATTCAGGCCGGCCATCCGTTCTTTTTCTGTTGAGGCTAGTTCTGTTCTCATGTGTTTCCAGGCTTTGAGAGTCTTGGTCACAACACACAACAATTGCGACTATGATTTCTTCCTTGCCCTGGAAGAAACTTAAGGTGTGCTATTTTCTTTCAAGAGAACACTGTGAGTCTGATGTATTTGAACAGACTTAATGCAAAGAACACGCGAGCTGTGACAGCCAAGCGCACGACTTGTGCGACTCTCTGATCGGGATGGGAGTAGGCCCAGAAAGCGCACGGAAGGGGTTGTGCCAAGGATTTCAGGGAAGAAGGGGTGGGGTGGAGTCCCCGGACGGAACTGGGATCTTCTGTGTCAGGTTCAGGCGGTCACTGGTGATTGGCCCAATCATTCAATATGGGTAAAGGGAGGGACAAAATTGCAGGTCAGTCAGGGGTTTCAATGAAAATCAGGCTCTGTAGAGGAGGGAATCGGGAAGTCAAACGTTCCCACTCCAATTGCCACCTGGGCGGGCATTGACCAAGCATCGTCGATGCCTTTTTTTTTCTGCAAAAACAAAGGGCTCAGGGGTGTATGCGGAATCTTGCTGGGCTTCCAGGTGGCACCTACGGGGTTTGCCGAGGCAGACGCCCTCAATGGAGTGTGTCTGGCTTGGTAATCCGCTGCGCTATGCGCCCTGTCCGCGAACTTGCGGCACCGGTAATATTCGCCCAAGTGACACTTCGAGCACAGTGTTTGAGGACAAAAGGGGGCGATAGCGGCCCAGGGCACCACTGTTGGCTCTTGATACAGGAGGAGGAGGGACTAAGGAGTATGGATGGCCGATCCGAGCCGTCGCTTCTCGAATGTCCGATTTGCACACCCGTCACCCCTGCTCCTGGTACGGAAAGCGCGGTGGGCAGGCGCTGGTTGAAGAGAACGAACGGGATGGGGGCAAATCAAAAGTGGCAAACTCCTGCGAGACGTCAATAGTAAAAAAACAAAGGGGAAGACAAAAGCGATTGAGGCGTCCTGGGCATCTTGTGCAAACATCCATCAACCCGGTACAACACTCCCAAGTGTTCTATCCTAATCTATCATACAGATGATCAATTTATACATGCAGAAGAAAATGATGACAAGATCATTTCAAGACATAAGCAAAATCACACAGCGAAGGTATTAGCAGGAGGAAACTGGTACATCAGCGGTACATCCCGCTCCTCTCGTACTAGGGAAGGGTCCTTTTTAATGCTCTCACCCCACACCCGGTATGGACCAGACTGTCTTTTTTTTTCTTTTCTTTTCTTTTTTCTTTTTTAACACATACTCACGAGACTCCCATCCTACCATTTCTCTCGATATATCTCCTGGCGCACTCCCGCTCTGTTTCTATCTTACCTCATGCGAGGAACATCACTCTCTACTGGAGCAACCTGACCAGACAGCGGACACGGGCACTGACGCTGAATGAGCTCCCCCATTCAGCCCCAGTTGAGGCACTGGCGTAAAAGCCTCGTTATACGGGAACCTCGGGAGCAAGGCGCATTGTTCTCAACTAGTCCCGTGAGCAGTGAGGGCACTCATAGGCAGTGTCTAATGGTCGGCTAAGGTCTAACCCATGAGCCCCCTACCTCTAAGTACCAACCCAGCATAGCGCGGTTCATATATGGCTACTGTTGGTTGTTGAGTATGCTGGTTGTTATGTGAGCTAATGTGATATCATAGTCTGTATGGATGTATGTGGTTGCTTTCTGCTACTAATGAGCCTTGCTTATGTCTGTTCGCCAGAGAGAATCGACTTAGTGGTAATGGTGGAGACCTCGACCCTCACCAACTACCCCCGACCACCTCTGATAGCCCACCACCCCAGAATGGGTCTACTGACATCAAGAGTAGGACACATCTTAATTCGACATTGTTTTCCCTACAAGGCACCCCTGCCCACCAAAGGACTGCCACGGTATCACCATGCACCCAAACAACCCCTGAACACTCTCCGACCCGAGAGAGTAGCATCCATCCCTCGTCAACTCTCCCGTAGGAAAGGCACACGTCCCCACCCAAATCCGTCCAGAAGATCATCCCTAGCTGATATGACGAACAGTATATATAGACATGATGAATGAGCATAGTATGGAGTTGAACTCGGGACCTCCAAGTTACAATATCAGAGCTCTACCCACTGAGCTATTGAGGTCATTAGTCTGTAAGGGCGCTGTTCTGAACCCAGCTCACGTAGAGAAAATGCTCCGAGCTAACATTCTAGTACTACCGTCTTCACCCGAATAGAACGCCCGGTCATTATAGCCGTATTTGGGGCAACTTTCCGTCCTGATGCAGCCATTATGACCGGGTGTTCTATTCGGGTGAAGACGGTAGGTGCTATGACACTGAAGTAATCCATGCTATGTTCCCAAGAAAAGCTTGAAAGACTAACAATAAGTGGGTGTCTGTACCTCAAACTCACCCAGCTAGGTAGGTAGAGAATACCTAGGGGCATGAGACGACTCTCTCCAAGGAACGTAGCATAATCTCCTGCGTAACTTCGGGAGGAGTACTTCCTTATACAGGAGGTCGCAGTGATCAGGCCTAGGCGACTCCCAGAAATAACTGCACACATCATCATGCATCTAATCATTGATCCATGTGATGGACAGGCATTAAAAAAGGAGGAGAGAATTGGGGAAAGGAGGTAGGCAACATGTCATACTCAAGACTCAGAAACTCAGAAAGTATTACCCCATCTGTCTTCGGGGATTCTTAGAAGAACAAACTCGCAACCATAGCTTAAACACTCCGACCGGAACAGTTCATCCTCTTGCGCCCACCAATCACCTGGATCGTCACCCCGCAGTCCATCGCAGCGACATTTCAACCCTTCACAGTTGCAGCCAGCTCGTCGGGGCTTTTCTACCTGCTTGCTCACACTCACGCTCAGGCTTACACTCGGCTAGCCGACCCTCTTGATCTCGCTAACTCCCAGGTAGAATAGGAAGGGACAAAGTCGCACTTCCAATTTTTAAACCACGAGGATGCATGCATGAGAAAGTCGGGGATTAGGCGAGGAGGAAGAGAGGGCGGGATTGGGAGTGCCTTCCCGGGACCACGGCGTGGGGGACTTAGCCACTCTCCACGCGTCGATCCAGGATGCACCACTTCGGCCAATGACTATTAAGGAGACAGAAGAGAACCAGGGAGAATGGTGCGCGCGAGAAAGGCGGAATGCTCAAGTGCCAAGAAGAAGCAAGGGGAGAGGGAAGGCATTGGAGATCAGGGAGCAAGAAAAGAGGAGGAAGATGAAGACAGAAGTTCCCAATGGGGATGGAAGTTGAGGCACAAGGAAGGGAAAACGATGCACGAAGCCGTGGGCGCGCAGAAGGGGCAGGGCTTAGTTACTCGGCATGGCAGGGAGAAGCAGCAAGAAGACAAATCCCACAATAAATGTCGAATTCCGTAGGGAACCAATTTTTTTTAAAACTAATTTTAAATCCTAAATGCTGCAGAAAATCTGAAAAAGAAATCTGAAAACAAGTCCTAGACTACTCGGCATGGCAGGGAGAAGCAGCAAGAAGACAGGGAACCCAAAATTTTTAAAACTAATTAAAAATCCTAAATGCCGCAGAAAATCTGAAAAAGAAATCTGAAAACAAGTCCTAGAAATCTGATGAGCGAATTTCCAATTTCTAAATTCAAATGCCTTCTCACCCAATTTGTTGCGCGAAAAGCTTAACTGAAATTCCTGACTCGTTCACACGTGTAACTTCAACAAAAAAGGAAAAGTGGACACGCCACCCGGCACTTGCGCTCACTGAGGTGCTCCCTATTTTGCAAAAATGGACAAGAAGAAGGACACGATCACGTGTTGCCTGATCACCCCTTCCAACAGGCAACCTCTCTTCATCATAGTACAAAAATTCAAAAGGGGTTCCAAAATTCAGGGGCAAGTTGTCGATGTGCCTCAGAGTGAGGCATGGGCCCTTTGCATGGCCCATAGGACCCCCATCCCTCAGTCCACGCAGAAAGGCACGCTAGACAAATCCTGGCGGGCCACGTCGCGCGCTGGTTCATATTTTTTGAGCCGCAGAGGGGGATCCACTTCGGCAAAAGGAAGCCTCTTAAGTACTGCTGGTTTACGAACGAGGACATTCAGCATAATAGTTTTTTGGTGAACGAGGACATTCTGCGGAATCTCATGTGGACGGCTAGGCTACCAGCTG